TGCATTAAAGATTGATGTTCTACACAGACAGCTTGACGAATAGTTGGTAGTCGTAAAGCTATGTGTTTAGTGCAGGACTGCCAGGGTGACAAGTGAAGGTGTTGTCATTCATACTGACAGGATGTGGAGTGGTAGAGTGCCATGGTTGTACTTCTGAAAATCTGCAACATATGGAGGTTTAAAAGGTCAAGCTCACTGGGTAAAGTTGAAATAGACATCACTCTAGGAAAAGCTAAGCACTGTATGACTGATCCATATCATTTTTTATGGATGATTAAAAACAACGGCAGAATTATTATGCATTTTAATGGATGCTAAACCCATGCATTTTGCACACAACCCAATTACAGCTCAAAAGTGTCTTTTCTTATTCTGCTGGAAAAACATGCTGTTGTTGTTTTTTTTTTTGTTTTTTTTTTTACTTTTACTGGCACATTTCTGAAACATGGGATAAATAAGCTTGTGTTGATTTCTTGGCATCATTTTGATTATTGTTTTCAGAGCAAGGGTGGAGGACATCTTTATTCCTCCATATTCAATTTAATTCAATTTTGTATATAGGCTAGCGCTTTCCACAATACATCTTTCAAAGCAGCTTTACAGGAATCTACATTTCAATTCAGAGTAATCTGTTATCAGAGGTGACTGTGGCAAAGTAATGTTCATAGCCAGTTAAAAATGTACAGTTCATCACACCTTTATCCTGTAATTTAGACAGGGGAATGATCTCATTAAAGCAATTAGACTATTACAAGTTGTGATCATTATAATATATGGAAAATTTGACAGTGGTGCCAAGTCCTCGCAAGGGTTGGCACCTTCATCTCTAGTCTACACCACTGATCTACTGTATATAATGACTATCACTCTAGATCAGTGGTCTACACATGAGTTGTATTTATGCCATTGACATCTGTTACTGAGATCTGTCCTGTTGACGTGTATTATTGAATATTTCCACGGGCTATTAATTTTCACGCAACAAGCTGAAAGGACTGTGTTGAACTAACTGATCATTTTAGCAGGTGAAATGATGCTCTACAACAAGGCAATGTAACTGGAGAGACAATTTGCACTGTAGTCAAGTATTGACAAAATAATAGGCTTTAGATTTACGATCTCAAAAATTTAATTATGGGTATAAATGAATGTACATATCATATTGATTAACAGCACAGGGACTATCATTCTGCTTGCTTTTCACACACACACACACACACACTGTGTCTGTGTATTAATGATAGGGACTTTTTACATTTATGCCAGTAGGTGGCGACAAGTGATCTTGTTATGAGGCAATCATTCATTCAATCGGGTCGTTTAAAAACACTTGCTGCGTCCCAATTCGCATACTATCCGTCCTAAATAGTATTCGAAAATTGAATTAGTATGTCCCAAATCGTAATATGTTGAAATGAGTGTTCCAAAGAGACCCAGAGTGTCTACTACAGTATATTCGGTCAGAATCCGAAGTGCAGATCGATCAAGGGGGTAATCATAGTCGGGTATAAAACTAAAAAAAAAACAAAAAACAAAACAAAAACTCTTAATTTTAACTTACTGAGGACAAGTAAAGAGTCCGTAATTAAATAAGAACAAATAAACTAATTACAAGTAATACGAAATCAACTACAATAGAACAAATACACAGATGAAACACCTCAAGCCCCATAAATACTTTAAAAAAATGGTATAATCAACTGTATAAAAAAATCAGTAATCAATATGTAAATTAAATATACATTTATTTTCATTAAAGTTACAAAAGTGGTTCAGTCAGGAACAGTGAGATTTTCTCTCTCTTGCAGTTTGATTAACATTAATGACAGACAGCAGCAGGTTTATTAGGCTGCTGTCACTTTAAGAGCTAATGCACGGATCCAATTTACTGTTACACATGCATTTTTTTTCTCTCAAATGTTTGCGTTCACTCTGACATACAGTGGTATGAATAAGTTTTGGCACCCATGCTAAAGTTGCCTAAAAAGAGGAATAAAAAATCATCTTTTGGATATTGATCTTAATGCCTTAATTAGAAAAATGAGGAAAACTCCAACCTTTAAGGACACAAATTTTCTTTGTGAATGAATAATGTATCATAAATAAATAAATGTTTTTCCTTAAAATACAGGGTGCATAAGTCAGGGCACCCCTATGTTAAATTCCCATAGAGTCAGGCAGATTTTTATTTTTAAAAACCAGTTATTTCATGGATCCAGGATAATATGCATCCTGATAAAGTTCCCTTGGCCTTTGGAATTAAAATATCCCCACATCATCACACACCTTCCACCACACCTAGAGATTGGCATGGGGTACTTTCCATAAGATCATCTTTCAATGCAAATCAAACCAGCTATTAGGCTAACTGAAGTAAAACCATGCCAATCTCTAGGTGTGGTGAATGGTGTGTGATGATATTTCAATTTCAAAGGCCAAGGGAACTTTATCGGGATGCATATTATCCTGGATCCATGAAATAACTGGCTTTTAAAAATAAAAATCTGCCTGACTCTATGGGAATTTAACATAGGGGTGTCCTGACTTATGCACCCTGTATTTTAAGGAAAAACATTTATTTATTTATGATACATTATTCATTCACAAAGAAAATTTGTGTCCTTAAAGGTTGGAGTTTTCCTCATTTTCTAATTAAGGCATTAAGATCAATATCCAAAAGATGATTTTTTATTCCTCTTTTTAGGCAACTTTAGCATGGGTGCCAAAACTTATTCATACCACTGTAAATGACTGTTTTGTGAGGATACCTGCAAATACGGGCATTTTGACATAAGTTCACAACCAAAATAACTCAGTACTCAACGGTATCACCCACGGCCCACCCCTTATGTAGTTGCTATTTGCTAATATTTGATGGATACAATGTTTTTGGCCTGCATTCAATCTGTAATGGCAAAACATTTCCTGGTGATAAAGAGGTGGTTGATCTGGATTATTATGACAGCTCACTATATCCTGGATGTTTAAGGTCAGTGAGACTGGATACACTTTATTAACATGCGCTCTGTATTACACACAGGTATTTATCTTCCATTTCTTTACCTTCATTTATGCTGGCATTTTCTTGTCCTCTTTTCACCCCTGGTTCTGACTGGTGCACCCAGGCAAAATAATTGCCTGCACCCTTAGTAGCTTCCATGTAATTCTGATGGAACCATCCCTCTCTCCAAACCATTAAACAGTCACATATTGCTCTTGACAACACATGCTTTTCACCAGCAGGTGTGTCTCCACGGGCAGCAGTTTAAATGTCCAAAATTGACTCATCCCTTGAGTTTCCAATCTGCCAAACAGCTCATGCCTCTTACAAGGGTTCCTGTGGGGTTTGATGGCAAATGCCTCGAATCATTTGAGATCATGACAGAATTAGTCCAGGAAAACTTCTGTAAACAGAAACACCTGAAAAGAAACTTTGATGCGAAATTACTCAGAAACCGCACAGTAGGGCTCGTTTTCTCAGTTTCGTCATGCAGTTTATTTGGTGTACTCGGTTGTAGCAACCATGACAGCATATGTGCTAATTGACAGCAGGGAAAGAATAATTTTCTCCTTTTCAAAAGTGAGAACACATCTTCCCATATTTACCATGACCGTGTCTACAAAAACACGAAGAAAAAAAATACCGCTCCAAAAATAGCAGTTTTTGGTCAGATGTCTCACTCTGTTGGCTTCATTAACCTGACAAAATGGCTAATTTCATATAGTAGGATAAAAGTTGATATTTAATAAGCATGTGTGCATGTATTTTCACCCAGGGAAGTAAAAAAAGTTAAAAAATAGGGAACAGTTTCTTTAAAACATGTCACCTTATTGCAGACAATAGTTTCCAAATAGAAAACAAATGATCTGTCAGCCAGGCAGTCAAAGTCAGCAATCTAACCCAACATTTGTCCTTTGTTATAGTGTTAAAGTGATGCAATGGGGCTACTAATATTTTCTGGGCACCTCTTTAGCATGACATTGTCAAAAAGAGTCAGCCCAAGTCTCTATTATAAAATATTATCTTAATTTTAAAGTATTAGAATATGCCTTCAATTTAACCCTCTGATGGTCTTTGTTTAGGAGTCACGTCTTGATTCTTCCCGGTCAGAAGTCACCGGACACCTAAAAATGAAACTTCCTCCATCTCAGTAAAAACTAATGCAATAATATTCTATAATATTCTATAATATTTGTTATTTTTAATTTAGTATTTTGAGACAATTTAATTGAATTTATTAATATTTATCCAATATTTATGGTCTATTTTTGCCATGGAAAAAAAAAAAATATATATATATATATATATATATATATATTAATTATTAATGCAGTATTTTAGTTTAATATAGATTCTAGGCCTTCATAAAAAATATATTTTTTAAGAAAATGAGCACCATCTGGTTAAAGTATAGAGAAAAAGTAAAACCATGGTGTAACATTTTTTTAGTGGATTTAAATATATATTTGAAACAACCCTCAAAACGATTTCTTAAGTTTTAGATTTTTTGTTTAGAAATAGTGATAAAAAGTGTTCGTTTTTGCATTATAATTACAGCCAAACATTGAATTAGAAAGAGAAGCTTATGTTGCTATAAGCAAATTTTATACCCATTTTTTTCTACATAACACTTTAAAAAAAAATGTGAGAAATTTTTTTTGATTTTTTTGTGTTTTTGTCAATTTCCCATTCATTTCCTATGGGTCGGTCCACTTTTACGACCACTTAGCATGCTCGGATCATAACCTCAATTTTTTTTTTTGTATTCACATACCAAATGCCAGAAAAGTCACCAAGTATCATAACCTTCCGTTGAAGCTGTGATTTTTAAAAATTCAAAATAGAAAATTAGAAGTGACCGAGCATCAGAGGGTTAAATCTATGATTTTTTCACCATCATCCCCTGGGAAAAAAAGTAATAGTGAAGCTACTTGCATTTCATGGCTATGTTTATTTAAGAAATATTAACATAAAATGATTTGAATAATTTGGACAATGATTCTTGGAAACGAATGTCTTTTATTTTGCATTGTGTTCATCAATGCAGTAAAACTGTACATATGGCTGGGCACAAAAAAATAAAGGCGACAGTGACTTCTTGGCATCGTGGTTGCTCCCACATTCCAAAGACCTTTGGGATAAGCACACCTTTCTACAACAGAATAACTGGAACCAGATGAAAGTCCCTGACCATCCAAAATTTAGATGAAACATCAATGCACAAATAAACCATGTCTCGACAACAGTGTCACGTAATGAGACAAACATGTGCAAGCGCTCATTCATTACATTTATCATTTTGGACCATTATTGAACATGTTCTGACAAACTATCTGTACCCTTCCCCTCATTTGGACCCTTTTACCATTATCTACATGATACAAATCCAGCATGGGATCTTTATTCTTCACTATTTAACCTTTTGTATTTGAAGCAATGATCTTGCATATAATTGACATCCATGCATCAGCATTCCTTGGCTCATGTTTTATTCAATGCTTTTTGCCACAAATCTGGCAAGGAAATGTAAAACGAAATCCTGTTCAATGATTTTTTTGTGTGTGTTCTATCTCCCAAAGACATGTAAACAATTCATAATTCGACGACATGAATAGAGAACACTCAACTGGATTGCAAATTACGATGAGCGCTAGTGCTCTTCAATTGTGTTTCGCTATCCCTGAGAACCTTATTTATAATGAAACAAACCAACCTTCTGAATTATGCAACAAAAGTTCAGCTACAAGACGATTAAATATGTATGCTGCCTAGAGCAGGGAGGTTTCCACACAGACAATAGTGTAGTCGCCACAGAGATATTGGGAAAGGTTGTGGTATCACTAAGAGTGCCAACATCTGGCAGAGAGCAAGTAAAACGGATCCTCCGGCACTACACGGTTTAAACCAGCAAGACGTGTTCAATGAACATAACTCAACATGCCTTAAAGCAAACCGTCTCCCTCCCGAATAAATGAAGACGTTATGATCTTTGATTCCCATCATCATTTTGTATCCATGCTTAGAAGAGGAAATGTTCATGTGTATTAGAGATCTAGAGTAGCATTGTGAATCAGAAGAGGGGTGGGTCATTCAAACCAGACAAGACTTTTAAAATAAGCAGAACAATAACTTACAGTGGAACGTGAAGGGCCAAGAATTGCAAGGATTTCAGGATTCATTTGGGAAATAAATTATTTCTATTAATTTTGTTTGTTCGGCATTTCCAGTTGTTGCATCATTTTATTCCGTCACAGCTGAAAATAAAACGAGAAGAATACATGTCCTTGTATTTGATCTTGTATTTTGGCCCTAGTACTGTATTTCTCGAAAATAGTAAAGTATTTGGACGACAGTTATTCAAACATTTAAGGCCACAAAGTTCAGCTACAACATCTTTCTCCATCTTTTTTTCTTTTTCCTTTTTTACAAAAATATTTGCAGATACGATTGTACACATTATTCCTCCTTGCTGGAATGGGAGTGATGGCAAAGTATCCTGTCGAAAACTGGTTTTCCCCAATAAACACCAGCCACCCGTCACGCGTACGGGACTCTGGCGAGTGAGGGCCCGAGTGTTGCATAGATTTCAGGTGTGGATTTCAGTAAAGTAAGTCACAGTATTTGGAAACAATTTCACAAAATGTCGGAGGACATAAACAAACAAACAAAACAAAACAAAAAGCAAAAATATCTGAAGTGGTCTGATGATGCTCATACATTGGTATTATAAACATAAGGGCACAGCTGTATAAAGAAATAGCCTTTTAAGCTGAGGTTTCAAGTCTGTGGCATCAGTGCTGGGATGATTCATGCCCAAGTCACAGTGCAATGATAGGCTCCTCCCATCTACAGGAACCACGCCCCCACACTATTAGAGTTCCTCCTTCCGCTTGCCCACTTTCTCTTGGTCCCGGCCCCTGAGACTTCTCATGAAACCAGTAAAGCCAGCTTCCTGTATGGTGTAGATGGTATACACAGTGAGAAATGAATAACAGTTTATCTTATAATGTGAAAATAATCAGCACAGTGGCCTCAAAAAATATTTGAAATTTATATCAAATAAAGACAACTTAACCATTTTGCAAACAAATTATGCTAGAACTTTTCTGTCTCTGCTGGGATTTTTAGTGCATGTATGAAGTCAGTTCTTTTCAAAATCACACAGGTAATTTAAACCAAAGTAACCAGAGGTGAACTGTAGTTCATCACATTAACAGAAAGTTTCATGGAAGGTGACGTCGCGCTAGAAAAGCATATGAAATTACTCCAAACTCAGGATATCATACAACAGGATGATGTCAGGTTGTGATTCTTAATCATTTCGACTAAATATAAACAAAGTTATCCTGTGGTCCCCTTGGAAGTTTTTTGAGACCTCTTACACCGTGTCTACACCGTTGATGAGTCACATCACGCCACAACAGAAGCCAAATACACTGGATGTGACAAAGCTACCATAGCAAATCCATTTGTCCTTAATATGAGAAGAATCATGAGTGCTTGTAGGACATCATAATTACAATAAAAATAGTTTTCAGTTGGGGATTTGTTGTGTCGCGTCATGCCGCATCCAGTGTAGACAGCATCACGGTTTATAATGGGTTCCGTTGTCTTTTGTCGCATCACTGGCATTCAGTGAAGACACGGTGTTAAACCCATTAAATATTTTGCGTGAAAAGTTTGCTTGCACTTTCTCTACAAAAATGCAACTTAGTTTTATATCTTGTGATCCACCCACCCATTCATCCATCCTTCCATCTATCTTATATTCAAATCACTCACATGAAAGATCACTTACCCCTCTTTCCCCATTGTATTTCTCGCTGAACTTCCCATAGTTGTAATAGTTGAATGTTGGGTAGCCCTCAACTCCTTCCTGTTTACACAACTCATGGTTTTGTCCCTTTGTGCAGTCCACCGCAGCATATGCAATCTGAAAGGAATTAAAGCATGATTATTTTTAAATTAATGTTTTGTCATAGACTAACTACCTTTATTTCCTCTACGCATGTATCAGATCCAGTAGTATTACTATGGTAATAAGATTTGCACAAAGCTGTGTTGTTAGACACAGAGTTCACTTTTTTCAAAGTTAAAAAGGCATGAGTTTGTGAGTTGTGCTGAATGTAGCATGTGGGGAGGAATTATGTGGCCTGATCATGGTTTCAATGAGTGCGTTTATGGCACCCTCATTATGCCATTATAATGGGATTTTGGCAATATTGCGATTAAACTTTACCTCATGTAAACACAATACTTCCCTCAAACTAATGCAATTTAAGCTCAATCATAGTAGCTATACTCGCATTGAACTCTCGGGCATATAAAACTATCTGGCGTACACTGAACTTAATCTCAATAAACAAGCATGTTAACACCTTGATCGCATTATTACCGCTCTGACTAATGTGCGCATGTGCTCGGACGTACACGGATGTCGTGGTGTGTCATTCACACAAGTTCATTAATGTTTTTGAATGAATAATGAAACGTTTTTCTGAATTTTTTTCCTTTACTCTGAATCACTCTTGTTAGCACAACTTGCTGCGTAGTCTCTGCTCCGTATCTTCATCCAGAGGCAGTGCCAAGAAAGCGGTGCAGCGTAGGCAAACCCAGTTACAGCAGCATTGCGATTTTAATTACGGCACTGAATAACCTTTGCATCAGTCAAATGTGTTTTGCATTTGATGTAAAGTAGATTAAAACAGTGGCCACTATATGCACACATGCCTACTTGTATGGTAGTTCATAATTTGTATAATGGTGGTAAAAATAACCACACCACGTAGCAAATAATCAAAGTTATAAACAAAAATTGCGTGTAAATAGGAGTGAAGAGGTTTGCTTGTGTCAAGTAAATGCAACCGGTTCTATACGACCAGCTTCTGGTTTGAATCAGGGTCTACGGAGTGGGAGGCGGAAACCCTAACAAGGACACTAAAGACCGCAGCCGCTAGCGTCAGTCGCTAGCGCACTTCTCGAGGGGAGTGAGGTTTACAAGCACAGCTCTTACTGGATCTAAACCTCACTCCTATCCGGGTCACGGCACCAAATGTAGGTTAGGCTTACTCGCCCTGCTCTGAATGGGAATCGACCCGGGGTCTCGGTCGTGCTAAAAACGCACTAAAGACCGCACCTCTTGAGGGGAGTGAGGTTTACATGCACCGTTCTTATTGGCTTACTTCCATTACACTCAACCCCCTAAACCTCACTCCTATCTGGGTCACGGCACCAAATATAACCAGTCCTACTCGTCCTGCTCTGAGTGGGATTCGAACCGGGGTCTCAGGCGTGCTAAAAAGGCACTAAAGACTGCAGCCGCTAATGTCATTCGCTAGCGCACTTCTTGAGGGGAGTGAGGTTTACACGCACCGCTCTTACTGGCTTACGCCCATTACACTCAACCCCCTGAACCTCACTCCTATCCGGGTCACGACACCAAATGTAGCCAGTCCTACTCGTCCTGCTCTGAGCAGGATTCGAACCAGGTCTCGGGCGTGCTAAAGAGGCACTAAAGACGGCAGCCGCTAACGTCATTCGCTAACGCACTTCTTGAGGGGAGTGAGGTTCAAGGCCAATTTATACTTCTGAGTCGAGGGTACGCCGTAGTGCGTAGCGAACGCCGTTGTGAGCATTTATACTTCTGCGTTCAGGTCTTGGTTGCTCTGCATTACTGCTCCGAAACACTAGTTGGCGGCGGAGGGTTTTAATGTTCCACTGTGTTTAGATTCCTCGCAGCTAGGTTACTACAAGCAATAGCGACTGAAAGAGAGCTAATCATGTTGCAGTTGGAGCTTATTGAGGTGGAAAAACAGTTAATTTTAGTGAAATTACAAAAACTGAAAGGCAGAAATGAGAAAAGACGTCGGAGGAGATGGTACGTGTGGAAATGCGTGGGGTACGTGCAGAAATGCGTAGGAGGAAATGCGATGCTACCAAGCCGACAATCACCGATCTTGCGGTCCGCATCGTCGCGACGTGTAGTTACATTTTTGTAGAGGTGCGTGTCAGGCTACGGCGAAGGGTACGCGATATGGGACGCGTCTGTGTGTATGCTACGGCATACCTACCGCGCGCACCCTACGCAGAAGTATAAATTGGCCTTTACACGCACCGCTCTTACTGGCTTACGTCCATTACACTCAACCCCTGAACCTCACTCCTATCCGGGTCACGGCACCAAATGTAACTCGTCCTGCTCTGAGCGGGATTCGAACCAGGGTCTCGGGTGTGCTAAAAAGGACACTAAAGCCCGCAGCTGCTAGTGTCAGTCGCTAGCATCAGTCGCTAGGACGCCTCTCGAGGGGAGTGAGGTTTACACAAACAGCTCTTACTTGCCTATGTCTGTTACATAAACATCTCACTGCGAATAGGTCCTTAATCTGATTATTGGAAATAATGATAAATAATAGTTTTGGTCACAGTCATAGTCATAGCCATTGCTTACACTCCTCAGTGCTATGCAGACCCATTGTGCCAAACTCATGGGAAGATTTACTTTCCCTAGAGAAAGCTGTATATTTGAAACATGTTTTTAATCAAACAACCCAACAACATTGATAACCATTGTGTAATGTGTGGACTGAATTGAACAATGCTTTGAGTTTTTATTGGGCTAATTTACAGCGATATAAAACACTGCTCAATAATCCATAAGGCCTCATGGCAGCACGTTTTAATCTTCTTGATGACCACTTGCTTTTACATAAACCTTCTTCTGTTATTATGGCAAAAACAATCTAGGAGGAATGACAGCAACATAAAAAAATGAAGCTGGAAGTCAAAAGCATCTAAAATCAAACTTCTTTAGCCTTTAGAGATTTAATGTGTGAAAACATAATTGTGAAATCTAACAGCACATCTGCTTTGGCACCGACTCAACTGTTTCGCTCGCTGCACCCCTACTTCCTGAATTTAGCCTGTTTCTCTACGGTAATGAAAAATGAGTAATATGTTCCTGTTTCAAAGCAGCATAGGAAAACATAATATAGCAAACACCCCAACATTAAAACAAAAGTAGAGATTAAAGAGTTAGTTCACCCAAGAATGAAAATGATGTCATTAATGACTCACCCTCGTGTTGTCCCAAGCCCGTAAGTCCTCCGTTCATCTTCGGAACACAGTTTAAGATATTTTAGATTTAGTCCGAGAGCTTTCTGTCCCTCCATTTAAAATGTATGTACGGTATACTGTCCTTGTCCAAAAGGAAATAAAGACATCAAAGTTTTCATCACTGAAAATGTGGCTCGACAACAGAACCAGAAGAAAATACAATGCTGAATAAAGTCATAGTTTTTGTTATTTTTGGACCAAAATCTATTTTCGATGCTTCAAAACATTCTAACAAACCCAATGATGGCACATGGACTACTTTGATGATGTCTTTATTTCCTTTCTGTACAAGGACAGTATACCTTACATACATTTTCAATGGAGGGACAGAAAGCTCTCGGACTAAATCTCAACTAAAATATTGGACTAAAATAACTTAAACTGTGTTCCGAAGATCAACGGAGGTCTTACGGGCTTGGAACGTCATTAATGCGGAATGAGATCTGTTTGATTAAAACATTTTTCCAAATATCTTCCATTGTGTTCAGCAGAACAAAAAAACACATAGAGGTTTGGAACAATATGAGGGTGAGTAAATACTGACAGAATTGTCATTTTTGGGTGAACTAACCCTTTAATGCTCAGTATATCGGAGGATGGCAGTTAGTGAAACAAACAAGTGAACCATAGATGTCTCTTGGAAAGCAGCATATTTCCATAATTTTTTCTCTGCTAAATAAAGCAGCTGTCAATGTGTATTTTAGCCCTGTCAACTGGTATTCATTTCATTTTATAACTGGTGATAGGTGAAAGTCACAGGTGAAAACAAAAAGCCCTATTTGCTTAACTCAATATTTATCTTCAAGGAAACCGTGTTTGACGTTATACGATCGCATCAGTTCAGCCGTTTCCTAATAAATTCTCCTCCCAATGAAATTGAAATGTGGTATTCTTACTCTTAGACTGAATTACTGTATGAGTTTCTGCCAATATCTTGTAGGCTACAGTCCATATATATATATATATATATATATATATATATATATACTGTATATATATATATATATACACACACACACACACACTGTAACTGACCCCCAAAACCTTTTTCCATGTTACAAACGTTATACTCAGGGCTGTATACAGGCATGGTTTTCCAAACACAGAGAAAAAATATTTTTCTGACCTACATATGCACAATTTAAGACTTTTAAGAGGCCAAAAAATGGATAAGAACTAGCTGTAAAACTGTGTCAGTGGGCAGTAGATCAATACCTGCTCTCTCCTCATATCCTTCAGTATTTTATTCTCTCTGTCTCCTTATCTTGCCCCGTCTCCTCCCCCCTAAAGCTGAGCTTTGACTGATAGTATTTTCATTTTTATCTTTGGCAGTGTAGAAAGCAAACATAGGGTCTACTGATATTGAAATGTTTTATGAATAATTTTCTTAGAAAAGTTAATTTACTGAAGGTTACCAGGAAAACTAACCAAATGTATTATATTCCTTCACAATATGAACATTTTTCTTATTAATCTTATGCCCAATATGATAAAAAAATGGCTTTATTATACTTACCTTTATTATACACCTCTAAAAAATACAGAGGTCCAGACCAGCTGGCTGCATGGTTGTAGTATGGTCCTAGTAACCAGACTTGACTTACTACAGTCCCTGACAAAAGTCTTGTCACTTGTGTACAAATTGACCTGAAGTGCCGCTGATATATTTTTCTAATGAAGATTTTTTTTTTTTACAAGAAATGGCTCATTTCAATTCCAACAACTTTTGCAATAATGTTTCGGTGCAAAACGAAACTTTCAAAAAGTATACTAATATTTATAGCTTTACTAATATTTACAGTCAATATTTGCAAAGACAGA